GAGATAGTTGCACTACTTAATCCGTCGTGATCGAGGAAAATTTATAATCAACGATGCTGAAGGACTCGCTGAAAGAGATTTAACATGCAAACGTAAACGATCGACAAGTCAAAGGTCTAGGAATGATTAGGAAGTTAAATTCTACTAGAGCCTGCCCTTCGTCTCGCCTCGTACTTGTTTAGAACACCTCAACAATTGAACGTTCAAGCGAAGACAACTCAAAGTTACGCTGTCAATTCTCGAATACTTTACTGCGCTAATCCCGGCGACTTCGACGCGTAGGTAAGGAGCATCGCCCAGGCCGAAGCATCAACGCCGTAACGCCTATTTCGCAACCGTTCGTCGACGATACAATTGCAAAGACAATTCGAAGAGTTCGTCGAAAGTCAGCGCCGCGGCGTTCCAGGTTTTGCGCAACCACTCGAGTTGGAGCGGAATCGCCACGATTTGCGACGAGTTCGCCAACGACGGAACGAAACTGGCGTGAGGAGGGAAAGGGGGTGTCACCGATTCTCGACCGTACTCGGATAAAATACAGGAACGTGAGAGTTCTGTCTAAGGGATTCGCGGAGTCGATATATTCCGTCGCGAAATCGGACTGGACACTCCCAGGCGAAGCAATAAAGCACCGGTGGCAAAAAACGAACCGGTCGACTAATCTGTCGATCGTGACGGGAAACGCTAATCGCGGCGTCGCGAAATCGTCCAACCGCTGTGGAAATCGCCTAAACGGTTTCTCTGAAACGGTTTCTGGTGCTGTGCCATTGTGAACTTCTCGCCTCCCCGCACTGTCACTTTTATCCCGTTCGAAAGAAGAAGTGTTCTCTTTGTGTGCACGTGCCCCGGCTGCGTTGCATAAAGTGTTCTGGTAATCCGCTTCGATATTCCTGTGCTCTCTTGTGACGTAACCGCGTACAAGCACCACTCCTAGCGTGGCAAAGTGTAGACAAGTTGCCAGAACTTCTGGGAAAATCAAATTTCATTCCTTTTGATTACTACTCAACTAAGGGAATTATTCCAAAGATTACTGTATCGACAATGACGAATAAACCTGTAACTTATAAAATAATATTTTTTTTTCTTTTTTCCACTTATAGGATACGCTTGTAAGAGGGTTAAAGTATAGCAAAGACGCACTGCTCGATAAGTATCACGTTTGAAAGAACTCTCCTCTAACTATTTTAAATGGTTCATTCTTGAACCAGGCTTAACCCTCCATTTTATTTTTAGAACGCATGACTGCAATCGTTGCTTTTACAAGAAGCAATTGCACTCGAAAGTCTCGAACTCTGCCTCGTCAGACCGGAAAACTCGACAGTTCCATCGCGGCTAAGTGCCTTTTCGGATTCTGCCGCCGGAAGCCACGCGAATTCCAGGCTGAGGTCGCTCAACGGGCACAACAGGACAGTCCCAACTCGAGAGGGTCGCGCGAAAAGTGACTCGGTGCCGTTTCGCTCGGGGCATCCACTTTGCTTTGTCGCGTGTCCTCGATCCGTCCTCGATGTCTCGCGATGAATAACGCCGAAAGACCTTCGGTGGATCGCTCGCCAATTTCGCGGCGCGCCGACAGGATGGGCGACGGTTGCCGAAAAGTTCTCGCGATGTCGGTCGCGCGCATAATCGTCGAGTGGAAAACAATGGTCCCTGAGCCGATTTGCATCACAACGCGTCGCGAATTCGCCAACTCTCCCACCTGGATACCGTAACGAGCGTGTCGAGCCTCGCGAATCGGTGCACTGGATCCTCGGGAAGAGAGGACTGTGTCACGTTAACCCATTAAAACTCGAACCAATGTTCTGTTCCAAACAATGTTTGTCCTATAATTTAAAATTGAAAAATAAGTCCACGAAGAACTATTGAAAATTAAAATAAAGATTGAAAAAAACCCCGTCAAAAAATCGTTGCAATTTCTAATTGGATAATAACACGCGAACGAGCGCTACCGAAAATTTCTCCTCGAAAGAATCGAATTCCATCGCAAAATTCTTTCGTAGATCGTCGATAGGTCCAGGTCCACGTCGAGGCTGAAGACCGGATCACGCGTTGTCTTTCGTACATCTGGAGAACGTCGCGCCACCAAAAATGGAAGAGTGGTCTTATGGAAAAGGGGAGCAGCGGGGCGTCGGAGGGGAAGTGCTCACTCGTCTCCAATGTTACGCGGGGAATTCAAGCCAGTCGTTAGTATGCTAATGAGTGTCCCTCGTTTCTCGGTTCGCTCCCGTAATGCACGGCCCGGTAAATTATTTCAAATATTTCCCGAACGTCCTCTTGGAACCAAATCCCCTCCTCTCGAATCCGGCTGCTCTGTAACTCCCGTGAGAATGGGGCGTATCTAAGGTGCCACGAAAAGGTCTATGTCGAAATTGAGTATAAATAAAAGAACGGGGACGTCTTTACGAAGGATCGAGGCCTCGTTCGACTACGTCAAGTTTGACCCCCTTCAGCTTTCTCGGCCAACTTTAAATTTCCTTCTCACACGTTCGTTACATTAACAATATACAAATTGGATTATGATTAGATACTATTGGGTTATCTGAAGCATCGGTGAGAGCACCGACTAGGAACTTTTATCGAATTGTTTGAATTCAGCAAAATATTATATACTCCACCTATTACAATAGAAATTGAATTTCCGCGGAACGTACGCGGCTCGCCTCGCGAAAAAGAATGGCGAACGTCTCTGGCGAACCTTTCTTCGTCCTCGATCCGACGTCAGGCTGGGGATTATCGATCGATCTTCGAACCAGAGATTCTCGAGGGAGACGATCGTTACAGAGGCACCGTGTTCCTTTCCTCGAGTCGATTTCTTAGGATGTACACGTCGAATTACATCATCGAGCGTTCGTTTACTAGCAAACGTTACGAGACCCAGCCGTGGGGCGATTTTTACACTCGGAAAATTACCGTTAGGAATGGCTCTTCGCCCTGTTCCCGGGACCTTTTTCTCGCCCCTGATCTGGGCATCGATCAAGCTGTTCCCTGGCGAGCCCCCAGGGTCGAACGTACGCGAAAATTTCTCATACGAATTGAATGTTTAATTAATGATCGCGGATCGGCCGACGACTGAGTCGGGGATGAAAGACGATACGCCTGGCCAGGGGAATTAATATTATCATCGTGCCGTGTACGTCGTTTCGCCGGCATAACTATGTGCTCGGAGGCTGAGAGAGGTTGGAACGTTGCTCTCACGGCGTTTCGATGTTATCGCGGGATATATAACGGCGCCATCGGGCCCTGATATCGAGAACCGCACGAAAGTCCAGAGGTGAGAATTAAAGGTATTCGACCCAACGACCGATCTTTCATGCTGCACCGACGTACGCGCGAGCCGTGGGGCTTCCTCGTCCATTTGAAAAATCCTCCAGCCGCGTGTCATTTAGTTCCTTTAGGCTCGCTGCGCGGTGTAATGTATGGATACACGAGGATTATTTGTTAGATCGAGATACGAAGAATGCTCGAAGGTAAATTAAATGGAGTATAATACTGTATCGACGAAGGAAGACAAATATTGGAAATATCAGGACGCGAGATGTAATATAGAACAACGATGAAATTGAATTCTTCAGAGGAAAATAGGGCTGTACTTTCGGAATTAATCCGGAATATTAGATTATAGAGTCAGAGCATAGAGTTGCTGCTCACGTGACTGTCGTCGTCTTATCTCGGAGGCATCCGACGCGGGGTACGAGGGCGAGAAAAAGGTAAAGGGGGGTAAAACGATTGAGAAGAGAGCAGATCGTAAATGCTTTCGAACCCGGCCACGGATATACGCACATAAATCCGTATCGTTCGTAGCACGGTCGTATTTTCCCCGTCCCGGTCGATCCTAGCCCACAAAGAGAGAGTCTAATTTACCTAAAACGCGTTATCTGGTGGCTCGGTCTCCGGGAAACCTGAACGCAACGCGGCACAGAGACAGCCGTGGGCCCGTTGTTGCCTTAATGAGGTCCAATTACTATCGGATGGGTCACTTAGTATGCGGTACCGATATTCCACGGTGCACCACATTAGTGGGACGAGAGACGAGAGCAAGGGTCAACACCCTTCGGCCAACTAAACGTGGCCTAACGAGACTCCGATCCTCCTGTCGTTTCGAGCTCTTACGCGTTCCGGCGCGGCGCACGTGCGCCAAGGAATCCGCCGATTGAATATTATATGCGTCCTTATCGATCGATGCCGCCAAACGAACGTCGAAGGACATCGCGATGAAAGCGTCGGGCCCACTGTATTCGCAGGCCCCAAAGACGGGGCGAAATTCTTTGAATAGAAAATCTCGAACACTAACAGAAATCATAACCTGAATGGGAATGGCTTATTCCGGAAACGACACGTGATCGCCTTATGTGGAGAGTGAGTATTAATGGATTTTTGACGATTTCTTAGCGAAGATGAACTCAAATATAAATACTCTAAACTAGATGAAAACGGCCTAGTGTCGCAGTTTCTAAGACAATCGCCGTCACCGACGAAACCGTCTACGAAGGATGACGATCCGAGATGATCGATTCGTCGCGCTCGATTCTCCTGTCCACTTACGGATTCGCGTCGGGCGAACGTTTTTTCCCCGGACATCCCGCTCACAGGTCCATCAAGATCGGACTTTCTCACCTTCTTCATCGATGGCCCGACGCGTACGTGCTTGGTCGTCCTTTCTCGCGATTCGTCGCGGCTTATTAACCTTCCCTTTTCTTTAAACTAGAGTGCACACGTCGCGGCACCGCTTTAAAGTACCGCGAGGGAGCGTGGATCGCGTGCGCTTCGTTTTTCCGCTAGGGTGACTTCGACGCGTGGAAAGCGACGTCGCGGAGAACAGAACCGAGACTGCGCGCGACTCGCATGAATTCGTTCTCGAACGATAAATAAGACTGTCGTTTCTAAGTCGCTCCTCGAGTGCAAAGGGTTAAACGATCGAAATAAGACTATTTTGAAGATCCTATCTCCTTCGTAAGCGGGAGTTCAAGGGGTCGAACAGTACGTGGACGTTGATTAAACTTCCTTACCTTGCAACCCTCGCACGTGAACGCTCCGAAATGAAAACCAGCCGCCGGCTCGCCGCAGACCTTGCACTGTTGGTTCATCTGCAATTATAGAAATTATGTTATTCGAAGGATAGTGACGGCGTCAGTCAGTCCGGCTCATCCTTGGAAAGATAAAGAGACGAGGCTTGGCGCGGAGCTAGGGAGGGAGTGACGAACCGGTTCTTCTGCGTTCGCTTCGATTTTTATTCCTCCCACAATATCTTACGGGATATATGTTCGAATGCTATTTGGATTACCGGGAAGAGGAGCTTGAAAAATTATTCCCCGGTTTCTTTACGACCATTATCGCCCCTGACACGGTTCACCAGCGCCCACTAATGCTTATGGCATCCGAATTCAATCTCAACTATCGATTTCGTTTCCTCGCTGCCTCCTTGCTTTGTCCCCTTGACGTCAACGTTAACCTTGGATTAATAGCTGCGATAGACTCAAAAATCCTTGCTGTGTTTGCAATAATTTTGATATGTTTGTAAAGTGTAATAGGTTTTTGATACAATAAATATTTGGTAGTGTTATGTTTCGGCTTTCGGTTTTCCGAGTCTCCCAAAATAACAATTCTTACGTATTCTGTAATAGTTCCATGCCTGTGATAAAATTATTAATATTCTTGTATGTAATCCAGCTGGTAAATTGATATTTAATTGTATTTGTAGATCCTGCTTGGAAATAGGACCATGCTTGTCTCTAAAGTCAGTTAATAGCACGATGTAATTCGTTGAAGGAACGACAGAGGACCATTATTCTTCGGGGTGAATGACGGTATCCTTTTCTGTTCGACAGGGACGAAGTTCGTTTGGTGCTAGCGGGAAATCATAAATCAGCGCTATCTAGGTGAAAGAAACACCATCTGTCGGCGTGACGGTGTCAGGGAAATGAACGCATTTCTCGAGTAAACTGGAATAAAATTAGACCAACGATGATCCGATATGGAGCCTCGGAGGCACCTGGCTTTTCTAATGTCGTCCACTTTTACCTAACCGAAAACAGTTGGTTCGCATAAGTCACCCGAAGTAACATCTCTGACAATTCCGGCGGCTTCGCACCGAATGCCTAGATAGTTATCATGATACACTTTCGCGCTTACAGGAAGAAAGCAGTCGTTTAGAGTAATTTTCAGTGAAAACCTCATTGAATTTCTTGCTTGACGCTGAAATATTTTGAATAGATGACCTCGTTAAGATCGCTGTCTTCCTGGACTTCGGTCCACATTCGATAAATAGTCGAAGAGTAGCAATCTTGCTGCGTGCTTCCTGCATCTGCCGCGATTGTCCTAACGAGAATTCAAAGTGACTGCAATTACAGTCGCGATACGACACCGAGCCCTTCTAATCGCCCCTTCGCGATTGTTCTTCTAAAGGAAATGATCGTTCTCCCGTACAAACCAACGAATGGAAACGCGGGGAAGTGAAAAGTGTAAGAGAGAAAAAGACAAGTCGTCCCGCAGGTTCGTTAAGGTTTCCAAGTTTTTTCACCGACGCAGTTGTTTGACGCCCGCTCTTTCTTTCATTCCGCCTGCTGATGAGGCGAGACCGTCTTACCTCTTCCTCGGCAGAGGAGGAGGCAGCAGGTATCTTTCCTCTCCTGGGCAACTACACGTGGCGCAACAATGACCTACTCGCCCCTTTTCAACATTTTTTTAGTCCCTCGCCTTCTGTTGGCTCTCGTCCATGCTGGACTAATTCACAGAAAAATGTTCCTATGCGATAAAAATTAGGAAGAAGAGACTTCTTGGATCCTTAAATTACGAGTAATTGCATACGACGACGTAACGTGCCTCGCGAACACAATCTCTTTATTGCCCCATAAATATAGACGAATAATTTTGAAACACCGAAGAGAGCCATAAACATAGACGTTCCTTAATAAAATACTTGGAGAGGCATCGTGCAATAATTGTCCGTATAGCCGTTCGATCGAATAAACGTCGGGCATAAATCACTACGCGCTGTCCCAATTCGTCGTCTATCATTGAAATTAAATTTTTGCCCATCTCTGGCTCGGACCACGATGACTGTAAATTGTAATTAAGTGCTGTAAGGCAACGTAATCACGAATTGAAACGTAGTTCGCGGCGGGGAAGGCTCAAGAAGCGTGGCGAACCGCGTGAGAATGTACTCGAAGCTTTTGAATCGTGCGAGCAAGCGTGCAAAGAGATCACCTGGGCGAGAGAAAGAGGGAGGAAAAGGTTAAGCGGTGCAAAAACGGGGCGCGGAGCTAATATCGGGACGTTGTTTCCATCGATGCGCTCCATGCGGAATATTCGAGCGAGAGAGGCTGGTGCACGCAGGTCGACGTTGATTAAGAGTGGTCTCGCGATTAACAGTAAATCACAGAGCGCATCGATTCAACCTTCGTAACCGTAACCGCGGCCCGCAGCCGCCGGTGACTATAACCAGCAAACGGTACCATTTAAGTAGCCGAGCCTATTGATTTTACAAAGGATCTCGGCGACTGATATCGGACGCTATCCCACGAAGGTTAATTCGGGCCAAGGCTGACCTCCATCGCCGCCGTTGATCGATTTCTCCTGCCCTAAACCAGAAGTGGACAAAATTCCAGCCTACTTCAAAATCTCGATCAACGAATAAGAGACGAACAACGTTTTATCTTTCACTTGCTGATTATTCATCTTTGATGATATGTTGACGATACTTTGACAAACATTACAATGATACGAGGTACATTTTATACTTATATGAATGCAATACAACGTAAATATACAGGTCCTCAAAGTATGGAAATAGAATGGCCAATAAAAAGGATTGGAATGCTCGGAATGACACTGTTGACCAATAAAATGAGATTATGCGTCACGTTAAACGAGGCAAGGTTCCACTGAGATCTGTTCGATCGTATAATCGTTGGCAATAAATTTTTTATACGGTGCTTTTATTCGTCACCTATTATTCCAAAAGAATTTTGCTCTTCTTTTCCTCAAACTGTCGATCCCGCGCAGCCTGTTCGACGATCCTACGATCGTAATCGTTTAATCCCCTACATACAGGTTTCGTTATTTCGGAGAACGTTCGTTCCTGGTTTCCGTAATCGGATTTCAACGGATACATGGAACATGTGATTAATAGCTGCGCTGAATATTCATGCGCCTCGACTGCGTAGATAGAGTGGTTTGAATTACGACGATACTCGCGGCGTTTCAATTCGACGATAGGAATTCGGACGTTCCGATCGCGAGTCTCACAAACGCCCCGCCAACTATATACAGGGTGTGCTTGAAACAGTGGGTATGCATAAAAAATATCTCTACCTGTGCTTCGCACATTGATAACTGTACACCTAACAATTAATTAAATGTTCCAGATAAAACATTTCAACTAACGATGACAGAATGTGCTATTAAAACAATGCAGTGTACCTATCTCGCGAGTGATCAGATTATTTCCTCCGACACCCGCATTCAAACCTGGACCCATCGATTCCAGCACACCCTGTAGATCGCCGTATCAGGAACGTAACGGGTTGAATTAGCATTCGCCGTACCATTTCGATGATCGGAATCCAAACGTTCACGGAATCTCTTCCCATACCGAATTCCTGTTCCCAAGACACCAGCGCGGCAGCGAGTTCCACTTGGACCGAGACGCTTATCAGCGGCACGAAACATCAGATAACGCGGCGAACCACCAGCCCAGAAGCGTACCTCTCCGATTGATATGCAAAAATAACCCCGTACCCCTCCACTCCGCGGTGCAGACGAGGTTAGCTCTGCAATCTGTTCATCGACGTCTGGTTGCACGAAGCGGGATAAAAGGTGGGGCACACCTCGCGTGCACGCACGCGCGCCTCGTACCCTAGTTTCCACGGGGACTCCAAGTCAATATTTGCCTGGCGTTCGTTAATGAAGTCTGATCGACCTGCTCCAAATATCGACTTACAGACCGACTCGACGTTTGCACGAACGAAAACGACGAGCGCCGGAGGAACCAGAGGGGTCACGGATGAGGGAACCCCTCCTGTCATCGTTCCAGCTCGCCCTGCTCGCGTGTACCCCGACGTCCAGGGGCACGAGGAAGTTTACGCGCCATTAAACTCGAGTCCCGTCTGACGTTTATCCTTTTATAAGCGTTTTTTTCGCCCATCCCTACAGTCAGCTCCCGCCATTGTCATTTCACCCTTTCCTTGGCCGACTTCGCGCGCATCCAAACCCTCGTCGAAGGAAATCTGGGGAACTGGAGGGTGACGGAGCTGCTGGAAATGTTGAGGGAACACACCTGAGATACTTGAAGCTTCAGAGTAGTGTAGTCTTCAAGTTCATTGAAAGTAATGTTTCATCTTCGAAGAAATTATTCTCCCATCTCCCCATTACCGAATGTGAATCACGAGTGCAAATTACGCGAGGATTCGATAAAGTTCCACGCTTCGTCGACGGGATATTTCCTCCAGGTCCCACTTCCCCAGGGATGATATAATCTCGGTGTTCGTCGGCGATCGTGTTGCGGACTCTCGGTTAGCTCGTGCGCCGGGGCGTAATTACAATCGAAACGAGGTGCCCTCTCAGTCCGTTCATTTTCTCTAATTGGCGATAAACGGACGTAATCGTCCGTGTATTTTAGCCAGGGTAGCGCCGTTCGCGGCGCGATCGCACGTAACCGCGGCGACGATAAGATCGCGACCGCTCGCTGGTAAACTTTCGTCCCGTGGAAATTCCCTTTGGTCTCCGTGTACGGAACCCCGGTTGATATATCGACTCCCTCTTCCCGTTGGGTTCATTAACTCGTTAACTTTGGCGCGAAAAATCGTCAGCCGTATATCACGGCTTCCATGGATCGGTAATCGAGCGGTCAATCCTAACGCGGCCATAAATTCGCGAATTAATATACCGCCAATTAATTAAAATCGCGCGAACGCTTTCTCTAAGTAACCATCGAGCGTGTCCACGACCACGGTGGGGAACTGTAACAATCGCTGCCCCGTACCCTGTCAACCGGGTAATTGCAGTTAACGCGCTCGTGAATCGCTCGATGGAACTCGTTTTGCCCGCCACGCTCGCGCAGGAAACTCCATCGACGAAAGATTATTCC